ATAACTCATTCAAACATGGTTCATCACCTTAAAGGGACACTATTGTCACCAGAACAACTACAGCTTAATGTGGTTGTTCTGGTGAGTACAGTCAGTCCCTGCAACCCTTTTTTTAGGTAAACAATGCCAGGAAAGGCTGTGTAAAAGTGTTTACATTACAGCCTAGGAACATCTCTAGTGGCCACTCCTCAGATGGCCACTAAAGGTGCTTCCTGGGTCAGCATGGATACACTGAACATTCCCTATAAAGATGCATTGATTAAAATCATGTCTATGAGGAGATGCTGCTTGACCAGGGCAGCATTTGCTCCACCCTTGCCCTTCCTCTTTGGCTGAGATCATCAGAATTGACAATCCCAGCCAATCCAATTCATTGTGATTGGCTGCATAAAATACATTATTTAGAGGAATAAAGGGATTGGGTAGAGACCTAAATAGTTAGTTTATCACTATAGGGTCAGTAATAGAATGTCCGTGTTCCTGATCACGCAGTGCTCTTTTAAGGTAAGACAGTGGCCTCACTTCAAAGTAAGACAGCTCTTAAATTCAAAACAATTTAATTGAACTAAACAATATTTAAGGGACACACCATATCCTCAAATCACTTCAGCTTGCTGTACTACTGAATGTGGGAAGACTGTGTCCTATTTTGTTTATTTTACAGAAGGTGTCCATACTTGCTGTTAAACAATTGGATCATTCTGGCTTCAAAAGTTTTCCTTTCTTGAGTTTAAAAAAACCCCCCAAAAAAACCCTTTCAGTACTTTGATTTTTAGGTCATTGATTGAGTGGCCAGGCTGCATAAAATTATGTCCCACAGGAGTGCAGTAGGGTTCTTCTTTGTGGTGTTTAATGGAGTGTCTGTGCATATTCATTATGCCATTTAATTGCTGGGTGGTTTTCCCAATGTAGCATCCTAGGTTGCATTTGGTGCATTGAGTCATGTATACCACATTAATGGATGTGCAGGAGTATGATCCTTTAATGCTGTGGGTTTTATTGTTGAGTGTGGCTGTGTCATCTGTGCATATGTGCTGGCACAGTTTGCAGCAAGTTTTTTTGCATTGACTGATCCCATTTTCTTTATTCTTCGCATCAGTCGGTAGCTTCCTGTTGATTATTTTTTGTTAGAGGTACTTGTACATACACTTGTGTATATGTAAATGTACATGTGTGTGAGTGTGTCTGTGTATGCTGGATATAGGCTTTCATGCATATCCTGTAACTTTTGGATGGGAATTCATGCATTCTTAATATAAGTAGTTATTTTGTTATTACTCTCCCCTTCTAGCACCATCTTTTGCAGTGTTTGCTTGTTTTTTTTCTCTTCCCCCTCACTCTGTGATCTTCACACAAGACATTTATGGCCCTCTGTGAGAAGGGTGTCTATTTTCTATCAAACCTGTGTCTTATCTGCACTCATGTCACTTTAACCCCTGTATCACAACTCAACTTTGAAATCTATGTGTCGTCTTTGCTCAGAAATGCTCTTTAGAATTGAGAAAGGGAGGTTCTCCTGAAAGCTTGTCATTAAAAAAATTCTGTTAGTCCAATAAAAAAGGTATTACAAGACACAAATTTGATCTGTTTTATATATATATATATATATATATATATATATATATATATAAATGGAACAAATTGAGAGCACTCATTGGATTTAGTAAACAAAAAAATATATTAAATCAAACGCATATAAATCAACGTTTCGACCGTCTAGCGGTCTTTATCAAGATGCTATGACATGTGAAAATCTCAAATATATACAATCTAAAGTGTGAAACTTACCCAATCACCAAGTGCACCCTGTTTGTCCGGTCTGCTCTGTGAATAGAGCCGCAAACCGAGGACTGTCAAGCATACTGCCGAAAAGTGACATAAAGCACAGCCACCAAGTGTTGCCTAGAAACGGCAAAGTTGTTTTAAAAGAGAAAAAAAATCGGTGTAAAATTAAAAGCATGTATGGAGGAGAAAGAAATAAAGTCTGATTACATGGTCTTAAATGTATATGAGTGTTGAATGTTAAAGACAGCAGTATGAATGAAAACGGGTTAGCCAAAGGTTAACCAGAACAGGTTAATGTGTGTATGCATGCTGAATAAAGAGAAGAAAAAAAAAAAAAATGAGACAAATGAAAAAAAGCTCAAAAAAAAATAAATTATTTATCATCCAAAATCCTGACAAGTGCTCACAATCAAGTTCTATCCAAAGGACTCACATTTGTTCCTGCCTCTAAACCAGATGAATTCAAAATTGACATCGAACTTTTCAAGATGAATAGAACTCTGAGCATGCAAGCTTTACATAACACAGCGACACCAAGACCGGCTTCACAATTCAAATTGAAGAGTACATGGGAACCCAAAAATACACATCATTCTATCAAAACATTTTCCACCATCTTGAAAACAGATATGGATACAATACTTACTCAACAACAGAAGAAACCAGACAACTTAACCCGGGTTGAGAGGATCGCCCTTAAAGATCTAAGTGGTGATGATCAACTTGTAATTCGAGCGGCGGATAAAGGGGGAGCGATTGTCTTGCAAGATTATACAGACTACAAGCAAGAAATTCTTACACAATTGTCTGACACCAAGACATACAGAAAATTAACATTTGATCCCACAACTAAGATCAGTAGTAAAATACAGGAGTGGATAAAATTAGGATTAACAGCGAAGTGGCTGGATTACAGTACAGCGGAATTTCTACTCAACACACACCCCAAAATCCCGATCTTATATACACTACCTAAGATACACAAGGATGCAAAAAAGCCACCTGGGAGACCGATTGTATCCGCTCGTGGAGGATTGTTGGAACCGGTAGCCAAATATGTAGATTTCTTCTGCAAACCTACAGTTACCAGATTACACACATGTTTAAGGGACACTCAAGATTTCCTTAACAAAATTACAAATTGTGAGCCAATCGACACCCAGTATATTTTTGCTACAGCAGATGTCAAGAATTTGTATACTGTGATCCCACATGCCATGGGCATAGAAGCAATGTGAACACTTCTTTCACAGTCAGACGTCTATGAAGGACCTCCCATTGAATTTTTGTTGGAAGGTCTACAACTCACACTGTCCAATAATTATTTTCATTTTGAAAAAAGTTTTTATATTCAAGAGAAGGGACAGCGATGGGATCTGCAATAGCTCCAACATATGCCAATAGTTTCATGTACGCATATGAAAATATGCATATTTTACCTAAATACAAGAAACACTTGATACAGTATCACAGGTTTGTGGATGACATTTTCATATTGTGGAAAGGCACAGTAGTAGAACTGGAGACCATGATTGATGAATTGAATAATCTGGATTCCACTATCTAACTAAGTCTGACTTATAGTACAGACAAAATCCAGTTTTTGGATGTTGAGATACACCGGAATGGCCCGAACATTGGATATCGGTTATACAGAAAGCCATCGGATCGCAATACACTTTTGCATGCGAACAGTTCTCATCCTAAGGCCTTGAAAGATTCATTACCCATCTCTCAATATCTCAGGGTATTTAGAAATAACTCAGATGACAATACCTGCAGGATTCAACTAGAAGATATGACCAGATCATTTTTGGAACGGGGATACAAACACAACGTGTTACAGAGTTGCCGGCTTAAGGCTGAAAATATTTTTAAAGGAACATCAACTAAACAGTTACAAAGTATCCCAAAGATCACGATTCCTTTATTATTTCATTCAGAAAGCCAGAGGTTTTCTCAAAGGATCAAAAAAAGATGGGATATCCTTTCTGCAGATAGGACACTTAATCAGGTCTTTTCACAAAAACCACGAATTGCATTTTCACGCAATAGAAATTTGAAGGACATCTTGGTAAAAACTGACACTCCTAGTTATAATTTCCAGACACACAATGTAAAGAAAGGTTGCTTCAAGTGCTCAGGTTGTGTCACCTGTGGGCACATGCTGACAGGATCCTCTTTCGCACACCCACATACAGGTAAAAGAATCCAGATAAAACATCGTAAAGAAAGGTTCAAGTGCTCAGGTTGTGTCACCTGTGGGCACATGCTGACAGGATCCTCTTTCGCACACCCACATACAGGTAAAAGAATCCAGATAAAACATCGTAAAGAAAGGTTCAAGTGCTCAGGTTGTGTCACCTGTGGGCACATGCTGACAGGATCCTCTTTCGCACACCCACATACAGGTAAAAGAATCCAGATAAAACATCGTCTAACCTGTATGAGTGATCATGTGGTGTATCTCATTTCATGCCCTTGTGGCAAATATTATGTAGGAAAGATGGATTTAACAGTGAGAGATCGTATCCGAAGCCACAGATCAGGAATCATGACAGCATATCGGGATGGAAAAACCGACAAGCCTGTGGCGAAGCATTTCCTTGAACTTCAACATCACTTACCCACCTTGAAATTTATTGTGATAGATCATATTCCACCGCTGATCAGAGGGGGCGATAGATCGAAGCTATTATTACAGAGAGACTTTCTGGATTAAACATTTGGACACAGTTCAACCGAAAGGACTTAATGAATATAATTCCTTTGGCTGTTTTTTTGAACATTCGCTGATAATGTATACTGTGAGACTCATAGTTTCTAGATGAATTAGATTCACTCACGGGATGTTAGCTCGCATGATGGTCGTGTATAATTTGGATAAAATCTTTATTTGTGTCTATAGATTGTGATTCCATATTCGTTTATATTGAGGCGGTGGTTTGTGATTTCGGCAGCAGTCTGGTTCATTTTACATCATCTTCACTTTGGTTTAACACTGCATGTTAACACTTGTGTTGTCACAATCACCTTTTTTTGTTCTGCTTATTAGATCATTTAGGTCATTCTGGACCTAACATCATTTACTATAACGTGCTTATTTATTCATTACATCCTTTTTTCACCTGCATACATTATAATTTTTCGTTGTATTTTTATTTTTCATATTTCATATGTATTATAGCTACAGTTTTTAGCTTTCACAACACACTATACCTGTCTTAGACCAGTACATTTTTCTACCTCACAACACATAGTCTTTCCACTATGAGTCTTCATGATCCAGCATATTTACACATATTAGTTTGTTGAGTAACATTTGGTTTTCGTTACACTGGTTACACATTGTATAATATTTTCGTATGGGGGTTGCATCACTATCATTTTCCTCATTCTGTTCACATAGCATTTTGTAGACCATCTTTACCTCAGCTTACTACTCTCTTGTCAGTTCACCACACATTTCATTTGTCCGTTTCACATACATCTCCAGCAGCACACATTTTTTATTTTTGTTACATATTTAGTCTATTCAGATCACATAGACTTTTTTGATACAGTTCTTCTTTTTTCCATTTCATACACTATTGTACATCTCACACATTTGACTTCTTTAATTTTACTCCGATTTTTTTCTCTTTTAAAACAACTTTGCCGTTTCTAGGCAACACTTGGTGGCTGTGCTTTATGTCACTTTTCGGCAGTATGCTTGACAGTCCTCGGTTTGCGGCTCTATTCACAGAGCAGACCGGACAAACAGGGTGCACTTGGTGATTGGGTAAGTTTCACACTTTAGATTGTATATATTTGAGATTTTCACATGTCATAGCATCTTGATAAAGACCGCTAGACGGTCGAAACGTTGATTTATATGCGTTTGATTTAATATATTTGTTTGTTTACTAAATCCAATGAGTGCTCTCAATTTGTTCCATTTGTATATTTTGCACGGAGAGGCACCTGGTCATTGCTGAATTAATGCTTTTGCTATGGGATGAGTGCCAGAAACTATTGTGATTTTTATATATATATATATATATATATATATAAAAAATTGATTTTCTCACCTCTCCTTGGTGGTATGTTTATTCCTAACTCTCAGGTCCTCTATCAGAGGCCTGGGAGTCTGAGGGTTCTGCACAGTATCTTAGCTGTTCCTAGAACTGCACTCTTTTGGACAGCAATCTCAGGTGTCCCACCTGGAATCTGTTGAAGCCACTCCCTGAACTTGGGAGTCACAGCCCCGAGTGCTCCTATCACAACTGGTAATACTACTGCCTTCATTTTCCACATCCTTTTTATTTCTTCTTTCGGTCCTTGGTATTTCTCTACCATCTCATGTTCCTTCTTCCTGATGTTATAGTCACTGGTTAGCCAGCACTTGCTTGTCTGTCTGGATCTTGAAGTCCCACAGGGTCTTAGCATATGGTTCCTGCTAACATCTTACATCTAGCTACTAGGTGCTGGACTGTCTCAGACGCCTCTTTGAGACAGTTTGCACCTTGAGTCTTATCTGGTGTGGTCAGCTCCAGATTCTATTGATCTGGTGCTGAATACCTGTTCCTGTGCTGCTAGTATAAGTGCCTCAGTGCTGTCTTTCAGTCCTGCCTTTTCTTGCCATGGAACCTCCTCTTTTTCTACATCCTCTATCTGTTGTTGGCATTCTCATAGCAGTTCATCTTTGGGAGCCATCTTTGTGATGTACTTGTGGATTCATCCAGGACTGTGGCTTTGACACTCATCAGGTCTTAACCTTCTTCCTTGTGGCTGGTGTACAGTCTATGGGTGCTGGATTTTGGGTGGAATCCTCCATTCATAGTGAGTAGTTTTGGGGTCTATTATTCCAGCTGGGTAACTGATGACTGGTAGGGCATGTGTGTTGATTGCTTGGATCTTGTTCTTGCCATTTAGCTGGGACTTCAGAACCTGTCTGACTCTTGGAGGTGCTTGTATGTTGCTATCCTCCTTGCCTCTTCCTTATGGTTGCCATGCGTTTGAGGTACCCTCAGATGTCTGTGGCTGTTCTCTACATCTTCCATTTGGCCTTCTGGAACTTGAACTCCTTCTGTCCTGATCATCTTTTTTGTGCTGCTAACATTGCAGCATTGCTAACTTCTTTATCCAGTAAGTGTGGATCATGTCAGGTCCTGTAGACCAACTCTTTATGTGTGCTACTCGCTGTTGGATATCTCTGACTGTAATGGTGACTGGTTCCTGTTCAGGCAGCATGCAGTGGTCAGCTTTCAGGTCTAGTAGCCACTGGGCCTCAGTGTTATGAGATGCTTCTTACTCCTGTGATAAAGTGAAGGCAGATAGGCCCTTTAACCCCAGGGGGAGTATGTGTAGGATGTGTTGTAGGCAACACAAAACACTGTTTAGTTATGGGCCCCTGGGGTGGAGCATTTGGAGAGAAGGGTGGGCCAATGCTCCACTCCACAGTTTAGTGGTTTTCTGGGAAGACATGGATCCAGACCAGGGTTTTTTGGACCGTCTCCAACTCACTGCTCAGCTGCAGTTAATGAGCTATTGCAATGGGAATAAACCCCTCCCGGCTAGGCAGGTAGGAGAGGGATTGCTGGCTTTCTCCCAGGAAGCAGGTAGGAGAGAGAGGCTGTTCTCTCCAGATAGAGTCAAGGAGACTAGGCACTTGGAGTGCAGAAAGGAAGCAGTCAGGGCAAGGCTGGCTTGGAGCACTGGGAGTGCAGAAAGGAAGCAGTCAGGGCAAGGCTGGCTTGGAGCACTGGGAGTGCAGAAAGGAAAGCAGTCAGGGCAAGGCTGGCTTGGAGCACTGGGAGTGCAGAAAGGAAAGCAGTCAGGGCAAGGCTGGCTTGGAGCACTGGGAGTGCAGAAAGGAAAGCAACAGGCTAGCTAGCAGAGTGTTGCTATCTAATAAGGTTGGTGCAATATTGTTTTGTTTAGTTTAACCCTGAGAGATAGGGAACCTAATGTCAGTTAGTGCTCAGACGAGCTAGGTTTTTGTTTATAGGGTTTTCTGTTACATTTGTTTTCATTTACTGCTGTATCCTGTCTGAACTTACAAATAAAGTGCCTGGAGTATTTGCAATTACAAGGACTGTGCATGTTTTTGCCCTAGAGGACCGTGCTACCTGCAAACAAGGATCACACTCCCATATATTCTTCAAGTACTGTTTAGTCTCAGCTTTGTGTGGGTCTTGGGAGGAGATGTGGTGATTCCACTGTAGCTGGACATACACCTTTGGTAAAGAGGGCATTGGTTCTTGGTACATTTTGAGATGGTTCTCTGGTAAAGAATGCATTGATTCTCTTAGCCTCTGCTTCTCTGGTGTATCTGCTCAGTTTGGTTGCCAGTGCTGTCACTCTTTACTTAGCTGTTTCCAGCACCTCTAGTATGGTCATATCCTTGTGCTTATGCGGCGGCTGGGATTTATCTTTGATCTTTCCTCCTCTGTGAAGTTGAGCTTATTCATTTTCTTCTGTCTTGTCTTTAACTTGGCTTCCAGTCTTAGTCTCCATGGTGGGCATTGCTTCTCTTTAAACCTGATCATGTAGTCAAGTAGCTGGAGGACCACTAATGCTGTGGCATGTATGAGCCTGTTGGTCTCTGTGATAGTGCAGGTTGGGATTCTTGACAGTGCTTCATCAACTGTGGCTAGCATTCTGTCTGGTGGTAGTACCGCTAGGATCATTTTTCTTAAATAGAAAAATACAAACATAGAATGTGACGGCAGATAAGAACCATTCGGCCCATCTAGTCTGCCCAATTTTCAAAATACTTTCATTAGTCCCTGGCCTTATCTTATAGTTAGGATAGCCTTATGTCTATCCCACACATGCTTAAACTCCTTTACTATGTTAACCTCTACCACTTCAGCTGGAAGGTTATCCCATGCATCCACTACACTCTCAGTAAAATAATACTTCCTGATATTATTTTTAAACCTTTGCCCCTCTAATGTAAGACTATGTGCTCTTGTTGTGGTAGTTTTTCTTCTTTTAAATATAGTCTCCTTCTTTACTGTGTTGGTTCCCTTTATGTATTTAATTTTTCTATGCTCTCCCCCCTGTCTCGTCTTTCCTCCAAGCTATACATGTTAAGTTCCTTTAACCTTTCCTTGTAAGTTTTATCCTGCAATCCATGAACCAGTTTAGTAGCATTTCTCTGAACTCTCTCTAAAGTATCAATATCCTTCTGGAGATACGGTCTCCAGTACTGCGTACAATACTCCAAGTGAGGTCTCACCAGTGTTCTGTACAATGGCATGAGCACTTCCCTCTTTCTACAACCAAGCATTCTGCAAGTATTTCCTGCTGCTCTATTACATTGTCTGCCTACCTTTAAGTCATCAGAAATAATCACTCCTAAATCCCTTTCCTCAGATGTTGAGGTTAGGATTCTATCAAATATTCTGTACTCTGCCTTTGGGTTTTTACATCCAAGATGCATTATCTTGCACTTATCAACATTAAATGTCAGTTGCCACAACCATTTTTCTAGTTTACCTAAATCATTTGCCATTTGGCTTATCCCTCCTGGGCATCAACCCTGTTACATATCTTAGTATCATCAGCAGAAAGATATACCTTACCATCAAGACCTTCTGCAATACCACTAATAAAAATATTAAAGAGAATGGGTACAGATCCCTGAGGTATCCCACTGGTGACAAGCCCATGCTTCGAATATACTCCATTGACTACAACCCTCTGTTGCCTGTCACTCAGCCACTGCCTTACCCATTCAACAATATTGGAATCCAAACTTAAAGATTGCAGTTTATTGATAAGCCTTCTATGTGCAACAGTGTCAAAAGCCTTACTGAAATCTAGATAAGCAATGTCCATTGCACCACCGTGATCTATTATTTTAGTTACCCAATCAAAAAAATCAATAAGATTAGTTTGGCATGATCTCCCTGAAGTAAACCCATGTTGTCTCAGATCTTGAAATCCATGTGATTTTAGATGTTCAACAATCCTATCCTTTAACATGCTTTCTATTACTTTCCCCACTACTGAAGTAAGGCTTACTGGCCAATAGTTGCCTGACTCCTCCCTATTACCATTCTTGTGAATGGGCACAACATTCGCTAACTTCCAATATTCTGGGACTACTCCTGATAACAATGATTGGATAAATAAATCTGTTAATGTTGTTTACTAGTACACCACTAAGCTCTTTTAATAACTTTGGGTGTATGCCATCAGGTCCCATTGACTTATTTGTCTTTACTTTTGGCAGTTGAAATTGAACCTCTTCCTCTGTAAACTCACATGTAACAAATGACTCACTTGCCCTTTTTCCTAACTGAGGCCCCTTTCCTTCATTTTCATCTGTATATACTGAACAACCTATTCATTGATGCAGTCAGCTAGACCTTTACCCTGTTCTACATACCTTCCTTTGTGTTTAATCTAACTAATCCTTGTTTTACTT